CTTTGAGGCTTAAGACCCAAACGTATGCTTCAGATTTGTCAGGTAGGAACACGTGACAGTAGCAGCAGATAGTAACAGTCTAGTAGTCATAGGTTATTTTCATGGAAGATTTTGTTTTCAGAGGAAGGCACAGGTTTTTAACTAAATGGTTCACTGTGACTTTAGTTACCAGGAGTTTCAGTCATTTTTCAAGGATGTTTCCTTACTAGTCACTCACTTGAGCATTTTCCAAGTGCAAAGCTTCCACAATTTTTTTTAACAGTTTTGTACCATTATTTGATAATCAGCTATAGTTTTCACCCACATGGACAGTCTGTAGATTTTTCAAAGTGGTGACAGGCACATAGGTAACCAGTACATACAGCTTGTTTGGGGACTCTTCATCCTCAATAATTTTTTTGGACAACCGTACACGGATGCAGTATGGGACATTCCTTATTCCTTTGGCCCAGACAGCTTTGCTAAGCCTGAAGTCGATGTGAACATTTGGTGTTCCCATCTCTTTCATGGCAAATCTCTGGATCTCCTTGAGTGGCAAAGGAGTATTCTTCCTAAATCCCACTCCATGGATGCATTTGTGAATGTTGATGGTGTATATTTCTGGACCTTTCTTCTTCCTACTACCCTTCTTTGTGGGGGCCATAGTGCAGGGACCAGGCTGGAAAGTGCAAAGCCCACAATTTAAAATGTCATTAGCCTCCTCTGAAAGACCACCTTAATGGCCTCGCTGCTACTGACTCTGTACGAAGCCAGCTCTCTGAGGAGCACGGAGGTCTGCATTTAAGAAGACCTGAGAAGAAAGGAAAAACCTCTTTCTGACAAAGCCGGGAGTGGTGCAGCTTTAAGCACACTGATGGGTCTGAGGCGGAGCACAGACATTTGAGCGCTGGGCCAGCTGGGCAGCACCGGCTGACAGCACATTTATCCGCTGGTCTCTTGTGGGAGTCATGAGAGAATGCCGAGTGGAAAGCTAGGTCCAAGGCTTTCCTTCAAATTGGCTGAGGAAGTAACTGTGAAATGATCCATCCACTTCACAGCCTATATGCACAAAATTCATCAGGCCCAGACAATCAATCAGCCTCCATAACAATAAATCACTCCACTTAACAACACTCCTGTAACACAGGAGGACTTCCAACCAGGTGGAATACAGAACTGGCTTCAGCATCAACAGAAACCAAGCCAGGAACTCGTCTGTCCTATTGTTATGGTATTTCAATTAGCAACCTTCTTAATTTTGTTTTCTTTAAATTGTATCTACACAGTGTGAGAATGTGAAAGTTATGGGGAAAAAATGCAGAGAGGAAAAGAATGTACAATGCACAGGGCAACCTGTAGACGACCCCCTCAGCAACCTGTAGATGACCTCCTTTTCAGATCTCTATCTACCCCCAAGGGTGAGTTCTCAGTTCTCACCAAACAACCACCGCATGATCTAATGACAAAGAGGGGAACATCAGCCCAAAGCCCACCAAGGAACTGACATCTGACCCAGCTGTGACCATTTGTCAATAAGAGATTTCAAATGAGAGCTGGGACTCCAGGGCCTGCACCAGGACCTAGGCAATGGTCACTGTGTAGTGCCACCATCCCAACCTGCCTGCAGCCAACAGCCCAACCAGGGCTGCAGCCACTTTAGAGCAGCCACAGCAGCACACTCACCAGGGACTTAGACAGGTGGACATCAGAAGCACTTAGAATTCCCAAATGAAGACTGGCAGGAAAAGCCCAAAGAGGGGCCTTGAGCTGGGCTGCCTCCTGTGGCAGCTGCTCCCCTGAGGGCACCATGCTGGGGTCACCTGAGGCAGCCTGCAGTTGGGAGAGCTGCCATCCCTGCACTGCAGCTGAACTGAGCCTGTGGGCCTTCCAGTGACTCTGACCTGAGCCAGCACTATCCCAAGCAGAGCCACTGCATCGTGATCACTGAGGCACTCTCGTCAGGGACCTGACTGGACCCTGGCCTGTTGGCTGTGGCATTGGGCCCAGGCAGACAAGGTACCCTCATGTGCCAGCATTGTGCCAAGTAGATAGGCAGCCCCTGGCTGAGACTGTACAGAGCACACCTGGCCTCAGAAGGCCTAGGGTCGCTGTGCTGGCTGCAAGCCATTCAGAGGCTCTGGATAGGTCTGAGCCCCAATCTCCTGTCCCCCACCATCAACACAAACCAACCCCTAGCATGGGGCTGAGGGTACACAGAGCAAAGTCCCCACAGCTGAGGGCCCTGGTGGCGGGGACAGTCAGGTTGAGGAAGAGCAGGGAGAGGTGATGGAGGGATGGGCCGTGGGGAGCAGAAAGGATAGGTGGAGTGCGTCATGTGGTGGTGCTGCTGGACTGACCACACCACTCTCTCAAAACAGCTCCAAGCCACACACACACACAGAGCTCCATCTGCCCCAATGTCATGAGTGGTGGCAGTGCTCCTGGTTTGACCACGTCACTTTTCAGAATCAGCCCTGGTCCTTGCCATGTTAGTCAGCAGCTCTGCCTTTGGTTAAGGATTGGATTCCTGTGGACCTGGAAGGGCAGAGCTTCCAGCATGGCCCATCCCCACTGACGGCTGTGACAGAACCCTGACCCCTGCATGTCTGCTCGACACTCTGCGACCCCGTCTTCTAGAGAGCTCTGTGTGGTGGCTGGAGGGCCTGTTTTTCTGGACGTCCCAGCATTTCACTGACATGTAAACTGAACCTTTTGCATCAACATCATGGGCTTTTTGAGGACAATCTGGAATCCTGGTCTTCTATTAGGCAAGGCCATGTCCTTGTCTAATCTGGCTTTGCTGGCCCTGCTGCAGAGTATGGGTTTAAAACTAGGAGCCTCAGTCAGCTGGCCTCACCACAAAGCCTGCAGACACCCTAAAGCATCCCTGACAAGCACCCACCTCTGTCACTATAGGAACGGGCAGCAATGAGCTCCCAGCAGTGACTCTATTGAGGGAGCAGCAGGCTGTGCAATGGCAATAGGGAGCCCCTGCTACACTGTTAGAGCCCCAGTGCCCTGCCCAGCTTCCTGCTCGAGCCTTGGTGGTTCTGGCCCATCTCAGGCCTTTGGGGGAAGCAGGAAAGACATGGATTAGGGAAGACCTGTAGACTGGCCCCTCTGAACCTGCTTGCCCTCTGACTGTCCACATCCCTCAGTCTGTGAAATCACTGTGATGTGATGTGCCCTTGCTGAGCACAGGGACCTCTCCTCCTACAACCATGTGACCTGTACCTCATCTGTAAGGATGTGGGTGCCACATGAGCAGTCACAACGACTGTCCTCTCCTACAAAACCAAGTTTACTTGCCAGAAACTTAGTGGAAGGACCCAAAATGTCATTTAACATGTGCAAATCCAGTGCAGGCTTTGAGGGAGGAAGCAAGATAGACTGTGGGCAGTGGAAGTTAAGAGGGGAGTGAAATCTCATGGTAACCACAGAGCCCAGTGCTCACATGGAAGCACAGCACGGGCACTGTGCACTGCTCCCACAGAACTGCACACCATGGGCACCATGCACACGTGGATTAGTCACCCAGAACCGCACACCATGGGCACTATACACACGTGGATTATTCACCCAGAACCGCACACCCTGGGCACCATGCACACGTGGATTATTCACCCAGAACCACATGCCATGGGCACTGTGCACATGTAGACTGTTCACATGAAATCACATGCCATGGGAAGCACACCTATGTGGACTGTTCACCCAGAAGTGCACACCATGGGCACCATGCCCACACAGACTGTCAACACATAACTATACACCATGGGGAGACAATTCACTTAGAACAGCATGCCCTGGGCACCATGGACTAGTCACATTTAACCACTTCCAGCACAATCCACCTTAGAAGCGACGTGTATTGTCTAGCCCCAACTGAAGAAATTTGACCAGGAAGAAATGTAGCCTCATACCTGACCTGCTTTAACCTGTAAACACTCAGAGAAATCTGACTTGATGTAATCATTCAAAATAAGCCCCATGTCCTCACGTGCTTCCTGCAGAGGCAGAAAGCTGGTTCACACGATCTTTTTAAACCCTAAACAGAATTATTCAGTATGTAAGAATTCTATACCTGACCACCCACCACCACATACCAGTGCCCAAAGGAAACTCCAAGAATACAGCTCTCACCCAGTGGTGCCTGAGCAAAGAGCAGCATCATCCTGAAGCACAGACAAGTTTCCAACTAAGTGACAGAGACAACTGTCAGTCACATGACGTCAACTCCTGTGAAAAGGAGCATGCGTGGGGACATCCAGTGCCTTTGCAGAAAGTCCTTCGCTTGTGAAATAGTTAACCATCAAACAAAATGCAAAAGCTGATACTGAGACCAAGTCAAACATTTCTAGATTTTGGGACTAGAACTTCAAGATCTGTCTCCAACGAGTGATGTTTATGCAATTAAGAAACCATTACGGTGCATGCGTGTGGGAAGCCTGTTCCACTCCATCTTATACCCTGCAGACAAGACCAGGGTCTTATTGGTTCACCGTCTTCCCCTTTCTTCCTAACAGAACCTGGATGCTATGCTGGGGATGGTCTTTAGCACCCACTCTTGTCCTGTCCGGGGCTCCACTGGACAGGCTGTTCCCCACACACTATTCTACTCGAGAAAGAGAGCATCTCACCTGCCTGTGCCCCTGAGCTCCACGTCTAGGTGCAGCACAGCCACGGGAGAGAGCACCTTGCTTTCCTGAGCCCCATGTCTGGGGCAGCACAGCCATGGGAGAGAGCGTCCCACCTGCCTGAGCCCCACGTCTCGGTGCAGCCACAGGAGAGCGAGTCCCGCAGGCTTGAGCCCTGCATCTGGGGCAGCACAGCCACGGGAGAGAGCATCCCGCCTGCCTGAGCCCCACGTCTCGGGGCAGTGCAGCCATGGGAAAGAACATTCTGCCTGCCTGAGTCCCTGAGCCCCATATCTCGGGGCAACACTGTCACGGGAGAGGGCATCTTGCTGGCCTGAGCCCCACGTCTCGGCGCAGTGCAGCCACCGGTGGCTGTGTACTCACAGTCTGCCGTGTATTCCACCTGAGGGGGCTGTGCAGTGGTGCCCTCGGCCGCCTGGGAAGTGGGTGTGGAGCTGTCCGCCTGGGCTTTACGGACGAGTGCAGCAAGAGGGTGGTCAGGATCCACCACCTTCAAAGGCTGGAGACAGAAAAAGACACATTTTCATTATCTCATGCTGCAAAAAGGTCCACCTCAACTTTCCAACAGTAAGCATGCAATCCTCCCTCACACTTGGGAAGACTTGAGTATTTTGGTCTTAGTGTATGATTAGGTGGTGCAGTGGTTAAGTGTTTGGCTGCTAAGTGAAAAGCTGGCAGTCTGAACCTACCAGCTGCTCTGCAGGAGAAAGAGGAGGCAATCTGTGTGTGAGAAAATCAAAGCCTTAGAAACCCTACGGGGCTGTTTCCCTTTGTCTCATAGGCATCACAAGAGTCAGGACTGATTCAGTGGCAATGGGTTTATTATATGCTACTGAAAACACACAAACAAGGACACCCGCAGAGCCTCTAATTGTGGCTAAGGGACCCAAGCCATGGTTTTCTCGATTGCTTCCTATACATCTGAAAGCTAGACAATCAATATGGATGACAAAAGACTTGATCTGAGTATCCCATGGACTGCTAAAAGCACAAACTAATCTGCCTTGAAGTGCAACCAGAGTACTCCTCAGAGGCAAAGATGGTGAAACTACATCTCATATACTTTGGACATGCCAGGGCTGGCTGGTCCTTGGGAAAGGACACCATGCTGGAAAAGGCTAAGAATTAGAGAGAGGAAGACCCTCAAGAAGATGGATTGACACAGTGACTCTAACAATGAGTTTGAGAGGAAGCTGGCAAAGGATAGGGCAGGGTTCAGAAATGCTGTTCTGAGGATCACCATGAGTCCTAGTTCACTCGATGGCATCTAACACCACCACCACCACTCCAGCTGGAGGCCCTGACTGGCCGCAGTTAAGTACTCTAGCTGCTTGTGAGTGCCAGGGGAATGCAGACAAAGAAAAGGTACAATATCAGCAACAGCCTTACTTAAGGGGAGCCCATCAAGACAGCACTGATAGCATCTCCAAAGGCACTCTGAGCTGGAAAATCCATCCTTCCTGAAGGAACATCTGATTTTTAATCACAAGCAGCTGAGATTTATTAGGGATTGCTCCCTTGTGGGATGGCCCACTGCATGGCGGCAGGAAATGATAGAGGCAGAACCAGACAGACTCTACTTAAAATCATAGATAGATTGAGGGCATGTCACCAGAGGAGGAACTGAACCAAGGAAAGGGGTTTACTTGAAAATAAAACGACCTATGAGGGAGACAGTGTACCCTAAACAGCACATATTCTTGACACCTAAAAACTCCAGTTCTGTTCTGGTGACACATATGACAAAGCACTTTCAATCTTAAAACTACAACCTGCTTATGTGGAAACAGTATAAGAAAACAAAATAATTAACCAACTCTGCAAAACATCCCAAACTGTGACAGTGTAAGAAAACAAAAGTAATTTGCTTATGAGCTTTGTAATATGAGATGTGTAACAAGTAAAGGAAACAGAGTCTTTGCTATTAGATTGAAAAGTAACCCACAGTCCACCTCCTGATGACTCAGACACTGCAATTACAACAAGCAGGAAACAGCATGTTTGCTATTCTCTCAAAGAAATCTGCAGGCCTTCTGTAAGGGCATAAAAAGTAACAATTCAGTATTAGGATAAAAACCTTCATAAGCTCTTCAAGACGACTGCACTTTTTGGAAGCAAAGAGAGACGGATGCAGGTAATTATCATTTTCTTCATCATCGTCATCTTCATTGTCAGAGGTGATCCCCGATTCTGAAATCAAAAGGGAAAAATGCACAAAATCACTTTGGTAAAAACTTAAGGCATAGGCAAAGGCAGAGCTAATATACGGGCAATTATTCTTGGTTATCTGCCCAAAAAATACACCAGGGAAATATTCTCTATGCTATTGCTGCCAAAGTGAAGAAAAAAAGGGGGGAAAGGGTGAAACCCGGGCTGGCTGGAAGCGCTTTCTGGCACTGAACAGCCAGGAGGTGCTGAGGCCTGTCTAAAGCCCTGAGTGTGGGTTATTTTAGAAAAGAGGCAAACTCTTATTGACTTCTATGGAATTATACTGATTGATGATTTCAGAAGCAATAGAAATAGGAACTAAGAAAAAAAGGCAATAAATGAACTTAAGTAATAGGACATTTGCCATTAACACATACAACTCTGATTTTTAAAACACAGGTCAATTGAAGACAGCAAAATTCAATGGTACTTTACACATGTACACACACAGACATACAAGTAAGACTGTTGTCTCCAAACAAGTCAAGTGAAATGCTAACTGCACTGGCCTCAGTCCCTGGGTGGTACAGACATTAACATGCTTGCTGCTAATGGAAAACCTGGAGATTAGAGTTCATTTAGAGGTAACTTGGAAGAAAGGCCTAAAGGAATCAATTGTTAAAAACCCTCAGCTCCCATTAACACTGAGGCCAGAGGACCTAGATGATGCCCAGCTACCACTGCTGACCACTTCGGGTTGCATTTTTTTTTATGATTTTACTGGTTTATTCGCAAAATTAGAATACATTGTTTTGATGCAGTATCTTTCCCTTTTCCTTTACCCATCCCTCCCTACATCCATCAAACTGTACGACCCTGTGATTAAGTCTACCCCCCTTTACCCCACCCATTCCCCTCCCTGCCTTGGATCCTCGTACTCATTCTGCAATAATGGTCTTATACAGTACTTGTCTTTATGAGACTGAGTTAGTTCACTTAGCTCTTCAGTCCCTCCCAAATTAGGTAGTAATTTACCATTTTGAAAGGGATCACAACAGGAGGTCCTGGATAGAATGGAGAAAATGTGGAACAAAATGAAAAGTCAAAACAGACCAGGCTGACTGGTCTGATCAGGACTGGGGGAAGCTCTGGGACTGTGGCCCTGTGACATCATTCCAGGAAAGAAGAAGCAGAATTCATGTTGTGGCTTACTTATCTTTCAGCCAAACAACAGACAGGTTTATAAGGTGATCAGAAAAACTGAGGGTTACCCTCCTTAGAAAAACCATAAAGCTCAGAAGGCAGAAAGAATAAGAAAAGAGGAAAGAAAACAAGAAACACAGGGAAGGAATGGGAAGCATACTGTTCCAGGACTTGAATGGAAAACCTTTTCATTCTATACACATTCACCTGTATCATATGCACACACACTTGAAAATTTACTGGCTTTTGTGGAAGAAGTGTAAACACAGGCACTGCTAAAATGCAAAATTTCCCAGACTTAGGGTCTGTTTCGACTGTGTAGACATTTACATGGCTGCTTTGGGGTCCTTCGGTGTCTGCAGGATGGAGAGTACTGCAGAAGCAGCCCAGGAGCTGTGAGCCTCTGCAATCTGTCTCTCTGAAGTCAACAGCCAGTCTGAGAGGAGAAGACTGTCTCAGGCTGAAGGGTTGTGCTACAGCATCGGTGTCCCTGTCAACATAGAGTGAATGCCCTCTCTGTGTTCTTAGAGGGTCTATGAATGTGATCATGATAGAGTGACCCACCCGGTCTGCCCTACTGCCAGTATTCCACAAACACCCTGAAGCCCTCTCCTCAAGGATATAGGCCCCAAGGCAGGAAGGACAGTATCAAAGGACTAGTGGAAATGAGAATGACAGAAAGGAAGCAGGAAAAATGTGATTACATAATCCATCATAAAGTGTGAGTATCATAATTAATGTTATAAAATGAAACATAAAGATTCCACCAATGTATTTTCAAGCTGACCTATTTAAGAAGGAACATCTGTATGCTTTTTTTACTGACTTCTTTCCTCTTCACTTCTTTCTTTGGCCAGCACAATGTAGTGTGTGTACACACACACACACACACACTCTCTCTCTCTCTCTCTCTCTCTGGACATAACAGGCTGTCCACTTACTTTTTTTCTCCTCACTTTTGCTCTCAGCCGGCACGGTGTAACGGCCATCTTTCATGGCTTTCTGGATGAGCTTGTAGTAGGGGTTGAGGTAGTGATCAAAGCTCAGGAAGTCAAACTGTGAGTTCCGGGCCTGCTTGGCCTTCAGCATGATTTCAAACTGGGCACCCTGCTTGCACACGAAGTTGGCTGTGCGCTCGATTATGGCGTGCATTTTGGCCGTTGGTGGCTGCAAGAGAACACACATTCTTGTTACTCACCACCCTCCCTCACTGGCCCCAGGACTCTCCAGGTATTATGGCCATTTATGGAAAACAAGACTCATGCCTACAGGAAATACCCAGAGCAGACTGTCCTGGTCCCTCTGCATTGCCTAGTCAAGGACCAGCCTGCATTTTGCCAGCATGCTTCAGGAGAATATTTCCCTGACTGAGGGCCCTCCCAACAGCACTGATGGGGCGAGCCCCCTACCCCCCACAGCAGTCATGCCATAAGGGGCTCAACAGACTGCAGGCTTTGTACATGAGTAGTGGAGCCTGTGAGAGCCTGGACATGACGGACTGCTGTGGCCTTCCAGGCACCCCCTGACAGTTTTCCACCACATGTGGGTCCAGCTCTCATGAATTTTCTTGGGAGGAGGACGCGGGTTCCAGCAGTCCCTGCCAGGTCTCTAAGAATCCTCCTTGCCTGTTTCTTCTGGGACATTACAGCCAGTGGCTCCCTGACATACCAAGCTTCAGCCACAAAGAAAGCTATACACTCATATTGTCTTTGCTCCTGCCTCTGAGCTCTCTGACAGCAAAATGTGTGTCCTGGGTCCAACCGGGCATGGCCTTTGTCCCTGCTGAAAACCAAACCCATAACCATCAAGTCATCTGACTCTCCACTGGATTTCTGAGGCTGTCACATTTTACAGGAGGGGACTGCCCACCTATCCTCCTCAGAGCAGCAGGGAATCCATACCACTGGCCTTTGGTTGACAGCCAACAGGTTACATGTGACCAGTGGGGCTTTCTTCCTGGTCTCACAGTGACTTGAGAGACCACAGGTTGGGGCACATTGTTCTGGCTCACACACATCTGACACTCACATCAGAACCTGAGGTGAAGAGCACTGGGTTGTGTTTATGACAGTCAGTCATGACCACTTCAAAACAAGAGTCCTCAAAAGGACATTCCTATATCCAAATGGGCTTGCCCTACCAGCCAGGCCAACTGGTCATCCAGAAGGCCTGCACTGTAAACTGTCAGGATATGCTCCTCACTCAGGGGTTCAAATGCAGCACAGGAAAGTCTATAGATGATCACAAATAAAGCACTGATGAACATACCCCACAGTCTGCAAACAGCAAATGGAAGCCAGTGATGGGGTGCAGGAAAAGCCATTTTTGCTCTCTACAGTCCCTACACCTGAGATAAACTGTTTCTACTCGTGGAATAAAAATCACGATCACTCCTAACAGAAAATATCTTTTAAAGCTAAGGAACACACCTACGAGACTTGGTAGCATGCTTACTGAGTGCTTCATTGATCAAGGCTGAGGCTCCCTAGGATAGAGGAGGCCCCCTGTGCCTTTAAAGGTCACAGCCTTGGAAAGCCCTGGGCAGCTCTGCTCTGGCCCACGGGGTCTCTTGAGAGGGAACTGGCTGGACAGCCACCATGTATGCTAAATATAAATATACGCACATACCATTGCAAGGTCTGACTGAGAATAAGGACATTTTTTTCTTGCTTTTAAATCTAATGGGGAAGTCAGGATTTTTTCCCCGTTTTTAACTCCTTACTCTCACATAATAGTTTCAGAAATTTTATAAAAAGTTCCTCATATATAAGAAGTTCAGTTTGATGCCTTAAAGTCCCTGCTCTCTTTATCCACTGTCCAGCCCACCCAGCTGTCCACATCAAACCCCTTTCCTACCAAAGTAGGGACGGGACACTTCAGGTCTACTCAGTCCATAGGTCTCATCTAGAAAACATGAAGCAGGACTTGAGCTCTTGTGTCCTTCTTTAGCACAGGCATTGCCATGTATAAGTAATGAACTATAACACACACAAGCCCCAATAATTCTAAAAGATGACTACTGCAACACTGACACTTTCTAAAGGGGAAAAATTTCATGCAAACCAGTGACTCAATTAAGCTCTGCAATACGGTTTTCTCATAATCAAAACAAAACTTCCTATTCAAGAGGTATATATTTAGAAAAATCTTAGAAGGAATTCTTTAATGATAAGAGGCCAACATTACTACACTTTGAGGTTTACTTTATATTTCAATCCAAAAATAGACACAATTCCACACTGTCCATTTCAAAGAAATGGGTCAACCTTACTAGTGGGAAGAGAGCTGCTGTGGTTTTAAAAGCTTAATTCTAAAGCTCTACTACAGAGAATACTAGCATTTCTAGAACAAGCTGGAGTACTGTAGGTACCAGTACCAAAATACACAAACAAAAGCCTATGGACATCATCAGATGTTCGTCTTGATCATAGTAGAAAGCTTGGTGGTTGGTAGTAGACATAGGTGAAGGCAGATGTTCTGCAGCAGTTCCTCAGAAAACAAAGACAATGTCACCTGTACAGGTACAGGCTATACAACACCCCTTCAGACATGGTTCACTGCATGTGTGTCGGGGGGGGGGGGGAAGGGGGGGGCTCCCAAGTCGGTAGCTAGCTGCACACCCTCTGCCAGCTACCCACAAGTCAGTGCTAGTGAGAAGATGCTGGGCCATGGACACTCTAGTACAGCTCTGCTCTATCCCCTTTGGCTTTCAAAGGACTTCCAATTCTAATAGGTTCCTTATTTGCTCTGAGTGCTGCAGGCCAGATTGAGTCCTCTCCAGGCTCTGAGCACTACAAAGAGCCAGAGCACTACAGACTAGGACCGGATACAGTGTATTACACACATACAGAATATATGCCCTACAGACTAGGATCTGATACAATGTATCAGACACACTACAACATGAAATGCACATGAGAATCTGATACTGTATAACATACATGCATTGCACACAAGGATCTCATAGTGTATCACACACATATAGAACATGTGGCACTATAGATAAGGATCTGATACAGTGTATCATCAGACACACAGACCACTGAGCACTACAGATAAAGAGCCCTGGCAGGGCAGTGGGTAACAGGATGCCAACTAACTAAAAGATTAGCAGTTTGAGCCCACAAGCAGTTGAATGGTAGAATGTGAGGCAGTTTCTCTTGTCACAGTTTCCAGCTCAGAAATCTAATGGATGGTCACCATGAGATGGACGCAACTCAATGGCAGTGAGGTTTTAAAAAAACAAACAGAGGGGAGCTCTGGTGGCCTAGTGGCAAGAAACTACACTGCAATCCCAGAGGAACATGGTTCGAATCCACCAGACGCTCTGCCGGAGAAGGAGGCGCAATATCCTCCTGTACCAGTCAGATCTGATTTGACGGTATACGCACACAAAATAATAATAAAAAACAAAACAAAACAAAAAAACTGCTTCTTATAATATTCAAAACCTACGAAGACATGAAATTAAAAAAAAAAAACCAACAAACAGAAAAATGTGATGTCTGCATAACATCCAGACTATATAATGTCCTAAGCAAGGCATACCTGTATCAGTAAGGAAAAATGAGGCAGTTAGAGTGGGCAATACAGCTGGATAAGGAAGGAATGAGGGCAGTGAGGAGTGAGGAAGCCTCAAGTGGATTTATCTGCTGTGGCTCTTGCACCTTGTATTTAAGCTGACATCACTGCTCCTCAGCACCCTGAAGAAGTCCTTCATGCCTGGATAGGTGGAAAGTCAGTGAAAGAAAGGAAGGACTAGATGGACTGACACAGAAACTGCAGCAACAGGTCCAAGTACTGGAGATGATGAGGATGGTGCAAGACAACAGGTCAAGGTTCAGATCTGTTGTTCATAAGGGTAACTATGAGTTGTACCTGACTCGACAGCAATTAACAACAACAACAACTGTACGTTCAGCGGTCCTCCATATAGGGTGCATACAGGAAGAATACTGTACCCTGCTTCTATGGTATATACCTGCAGGTTAATTAGGACTGTGTTGAGAAAAAAAAACACCAAACAAACACACCACTACAAAAACCTTTATGCTGAGGGTGACCAACCGCCTACATGCATCAATGCAGCAACACTTAACATTTCCCAACAGACACATTAAAACACCCTACGAGACACAAAGCCAAGGTGGTATCATCCTGCCAACCACTGATTAGCCTACTTCTTGACTAACTGCAATCTCAGTTTCATCACCTGTGTAATGGGGACAGTAACAATAGCCACTTCAGAGGGTTCCCTAGCATGATGCAAACATGCTGGGCCAGCTTGGTGGGTGCAGTAAGCCCTCAGCAATGCTCAGAGCAGACAACCAGTGGCATGACCACAAGTCCTGGTCTGGGTTCTGATGTCCAATATTACTTCAACCTGATGGGATTGAGTGGTACCAGTAAGAGAGGTAAGCGCCCCTCAGCACAAAGATCAAGAGTCTGTCCTGTCCTACATGCCACAGGGACCTCATCAAGACAAAGGAAGAAAAACCAAGCATATTCCAAATGCCCACAAATATCACCCTAGATGAAGTTAGGCAGAAAGCAAAAGTGCTTGGAAGGGTTTTATGTCAGTTTCCCCAACTGCTGAAGCTTGGGGCTGGCTCTGCCGTACCACACTGGAAAGGCACTCAACTCAAATTCCTGACCCTCAAGTCAGTTTAATTTGCTATAACTTCTGCATTTTTAGAAGTAAGCAGGCAGGTGTGATGGTATTATGCATCTGTACCATTCAACACCTGACAGAAGCAAGCACAGCAGAAAGCATGGTGTTCAGGCAGCAGGCACACCTACCAGTTCAACGTCAGGCGGGACATTCAATCCTATAGGGGCAACGAATGGCTCTTCATTTTCCTCTATACTTTCAGCCTCGTTTTTCTCTGTGTAAAAAGAAAATACAAAACATCTCAGTATAGCAACAAGAAAAGGATGGCTTGCTCACAAGACGTAATAGCTGAGGGCAGAGTGACTGACGCTGCCCAGCCCTCTGTCTTCCTATCATTATGTCCACAAGCACTTTCTGGCCCATCTCAATCATCCCGAGAGTGGCACATGCCTGGGGTCAAGTGGTGGTGAGCTTCCCATGCCTCCTCCCACTATCTCTGGGCTCTCCCTGCCCTCAGACTGTTTCCTTGCTGTGGAAGTACAGACCTCATCAACCTCAGGGCTGCTGAGGTGCCAGCGAGGGAACTGGAGGCATGCTTCTATTGTCAACTGGATGCCCAGCAGGCACTGAATACATGTTCATTTCCTGTTCTATTTTTATTAATGTGTGCTTGTAATTTGCAGCACGGAGGTCGCCTTCCACATTATTCCTGTAGGGACTTCTGGCATCAGGGATAATAAGGTGCTCCATTACCAGATGACGACTGTGAAGTGCCTAGGCATGAGGCAAGACTTCTATGCCCAAGCCAGTCACCTCTCTTTCAAGCCATCAGAAGGTTCTGTTCTGTTTCTACTTCCTCACTAATGGTTCATCCAACAAACATTTGCCTACACCATGCTAGAGGGGGGTACCGCACACTGTGACTGTCTAAATCGCCACTGTGTTGGAGGAGTACCACACACTGTGACAGTCAAAATTTACACCATGCTAGAGGGGGTTCTGCACACTGTACAGCCACAGTGTTAGAGCAGGTACCACACACCATAACTGTCTAAATCTACACCATGCTAGAGGGGGTACCACAAACTGTGACTGTCAAAATCTACACCATGCTAGTGGGGATACTGCACACTGTACAGTCACATAGGGTTGGAGCAAGTACCATACACCATGACTGTCTAAATCTACACTGTGCTAGAGGGAGTACCACACACTGTGACTGTCTAAACATACACCATACAAGAGGGCATACTGCACACTGTAATCATCTAAATCTACACCATGCTAGAGGAGGTACGAGTGTCTAAATACACACTGTGACTGCCTAATTCCGAGGTACCAAATACAACCCAGTAACTCAGATGGTTACCAGTTTAAAAGAATCCTGGGAAATACGTAAAAATACAACTTACACAAGCTAACGTTTTACTGAGGTTTGTATGTTAAAAAGATGGCATTAAATAACAATGCCTCACTGAAATAACTAACTATGCTTTTTAGCGCTTTGGGTGACAAACTGATCTGTACTGCAGACACATGCATTCATGAAGCTGTATGTTTGCCTGTGGGTATAAATGTCTTTGTCTACACATGTGACACTTTATTTCTATCAGTGCAAGTTAAAAGGGAGCTCTCATGGCTGAGTGGTAAGGAGTTGTGTTACCAACGCAAAGGGTTCGAATCTACCAGCTGCTCTGCAGAAGAAAGTCGAGCAGTCTCTGCCAGTGTGATTTACAGCCTCCACAAACCTGCTGGAGCATCAGCTATGGGTCAGTTCTAAGTCAGTGGCAATGAGTTTGAATTTGTTTGAGAGCAAGTTAAACATAAAAGTTTCACATAGGCCTACCTTCCATTTAAACAACAGGCATATAAGGCAAACTTCTGACAACATGGATAAACAGAAAAGAAATTTAGTTGTGTATCTGTTTCTTTTCATAGAAACACTGTATGCATATTTAAAGCAGAAATTATGTAGATAAAAGGCAAGACAAGAGACCCTGAACTATTCAGCATCCTGAAAGAATAACAGAATGAGAGCTCAGCACAGGGCACAAGAGAATTGGATGCCTAAGGAGGCTGCAGATCAGGGAAAACACCACGTATACATAACAATACGGTGACTTTTAGACTTCAAGAGACCGTTTGTAGTGCATCAGAACACAGTGAGTGTGATAGCTCAAAAGTCTACACAAATTGTGTGGTCACAATATATAGTTAAATTTATACTGAAACATCTCTTTAAAAGCTCAGAGAGTATATGAGATGTTACTGCATGTAGAAGGGTCACTTCTTTTGCCCACAAAGTACTGAACAGGATCAAGAGAAGGAAAAGAAGGATGTGGTGGCTTAGTGATTGGGATTTATTTGGCCAACACAATGGTATGCCATTCAAATCCACCAGCTAGCTCTCTGTGCGAGAAAGATGAGCAATCTACTCTCGTGTGATTAACTGCCTCAGAGACCCACTGGACCGTCAGTTATGGGTTGATTCCAACTGGATGGTACACAACAACAACATGGGGGCAAGGGGAGATCCCTGTTGTGTCTGCATGCCTACAGGGCACACACTGCTGTGTGAAACATTGCATCAGTGGCAGAGGGATGTGCACACACAGCTTAGTAGGAAGGGATGGCAACACTGGATGTGCGACCAGGAGGGGCCAGTCTGGAGGAGGACATTATGCTTGATAGAGGGTCAATGGAAAAAAAGGGGAAGATCCTCAGCAAGAAGGACTGACACAGTGCGCACCACAAGTGGCCCTCACACAGCAATGAGTGTGAGGGTGGCACAGGACTGGGCAGGGTTTCATTCTGTTTTCCTGGGGAGGCTACGAATCAGAACTGATCTGACATCACCTAACAACAAAACAACATTAACGTAGCCCAGCAAATCCCTACTCTTTCAAGAGCCCTCATGGGGACCACCGAAAAGACAAATTCCAACACATGCACTATAAGGTAAAAACAAAGCAGCCAGAATGATTAATTTTCCATCGAAGAACGAAGAAGAAGGCCACTCCACCCAACACAGATGAGAGAGAGGTGGAAGTAATGACTCACAGTGACCTCCCACTGCATCTCCAGGCTGCAGATCTTCACCGGAGGAAACCCCCATCCTTATCCCACAGGGGCTGCTATTCTAACTGCCAGCCTTTCAGTTAGCACCCTGAAGTCTACACTACAGCTTCAGGGCTCCTTTCCCTAATACGGGGCTCTGACCCCCACAAGGAGGGACACCACTCTCGTCCTCCAACAGGGTTCGATAGCTTTGTGGGTCCATGATGTGTCCTGAGGACTTGACCTGGCCCTTCAGGGTGCTGTACACAGCTGGCCAGCCCACCTGCTTACCTCTCTGTTTGGACGGCTCTTCTTCCTCTGTGGGTTCTGAGGGGTCATAGTATTCACTGGCATAACTGAACCCCACTGCATGATAGCTCCCATCCTCGGCCAGAGCTTCCCTCAATCGCTTGTATTCTTCCTCTTGAACAAAAATGAGAATTTTATTAACAAAGACAGAAAATTACTGCAAAAACTTTTACACATCTCTAACGTTGTAGCTATCGGTAATGTATACAACACACTTTTTTTTTCCAACCTCTTTTTCTGAGGCAAAAGGTTTCTAAGAACAAACACTTTGTCTAGCAATGTGTACTTCTGCCAAGTACGTTTACCCAGACAGCAGAAAACAAGTCTTTTGTGAAAAGTTTCTTCCTGCTGAGAAAATTTTAGGGAGAAGAGCTGTATTTAAAGATGGTTACGGCAAAGACAAGAACATCAATTTTAATGGATACGATACTGTTAAGGAAGAACAGTTAAAGAGTTTGGTTTTTGTTTTTTCAAATCCCAGTCTGCCCTCAAAAGCTGGGACAATTCTCTGTGGCTCTATATATAAACTATCCTGAGGTCCTCTCAGATACGCAAAGACTCCTGTTTTTCCAATCCACTGGGTACTGTCAAGATAATATCAGAAAGAGTGAGTATAAAAAAATGAATGGGAGTAAATTTTTAAATACTTAAAAAATTTTTTTTAAAAGTTTGTGTCTTAAGGAAGTTTTTCTTGAGCAGTACCTTGCCTTGCCTCCTCCTCAAGCAAGTCCGTATGCAAGGCTAAATACCTCTCTTCATTACACAGGGCATCTATTCGTGCCTCCTCTTCCGACAGCTGGTAATCTCTGTTCCAGGTGGAATACTCAGCATCGTACTCAGAAAGGTCATACAGGTGACCACGCCCATCGTATCTGTAATATGAACAAACTGGTCAACCGGAAGAACTCCAAAGCCAAGTCTCTGTGTGGGTGGTCACTGACATATATACTTACCAATTAAAACAAAGAAGCAAAAATATTAACATAAACATAAATACTTCTCAGATTTACGCTTAATTTGGCTAGTCATAGCTCACCTAACTTTTAAAACTCAAGTTATCTTAACAAAGTCTACAGTCTTTTCTACAGAATAATCAAGTTTATAATTAAAGGGAAGCAATCCTTTAATACTAGCATAAGTGGTCTCCACTTCACTGGCCGATCTTACCGTTTAGGGTTTGAGTAACCACTCAATGCCACTTGCTAAAAAAATTTCATTCTTCTGAAAAGTCAAATATCATAGCTTAACATTCACACAAACCCGAATACATAAATACCTATCCGAACCAAACGGTCGAAATTTCCTCGCTTCTTTCTGCTACTCTCGAACTCTCAGGAGAGATCTTCACCAAAGAAACTTGCGTCCATTGGAGGTAAAATCTTGGCTAGGCTCGCCCCTAGCCACTTGGCTGAGGAAATAAGTTCTGGGTTATGTGATAGAGACACACATACATAGGAGCAGTAACATACACATGCAGTTTAAGGAGGCTCACTGCAACAGAGGAAAACCATTAGAAGATGCAGCATGAATATTTTCTTCTCAATTATTTATCCCCAGGAAGCAGCACACACAAAGACACATCCATGCTCCTCCTGCATGGACCAATAGGCACTTGAGCCAAATGATGCCTAAGAAAAGCACTTTTTTACTTTACTTTTCACATAAGAGTCAGCCAATATGCTACTTGCCAGCGTGCGGCTGCTGGATACACAAATCACTGAGATTTACTTAGCACACTCCAATCAAGGGCTGAGTAGCAAGTCCAAGACTGACCAAAGAAAGTTTGTCACATTACTAAATGCTAACTTTTGGCAATGGGGCCAAAATTAGAAATATTTAAGAGAGAACACAAGGGAGAAGGACCAAAGGAGATTTTTTTTCAAGTCACTTCATTTTATTTCATTTCTAAATTAATTTTATGTCAGTGTAAACCTCCTTAACTTACAAATGTCAAGAGTTATTGAAAGGTAGTTTACATGTACATGTGCAGGGTTTGCTCCCCACTGGTTTTGGAAGACTTAACTAAAACCGATACAGGACAGGGTGCGGGGAGAAGGAAGTCACACAAAGCTGTGGAATGAGTTCCACCCTCACCGCTCACCAAACTTGAACAAAGATCACAGGGAACCCTTTGGAAAAGCAAGTGCCCTGAGAACTGGGTCAGCAGCATTGAGCATGAACCCAAGTTTAAAGGTTCAGCGTGATTGGGTCGGGTATGGGAAGCGCCAGATCCGTATCTGACACCTAAGTGCCGCTTCCCAGAGTCCTTGCCCTCAAGCTCTAGGTCCACAAAGAAACAGAGGTGGACACCCGCCTGGGTGGTCATTCGCGTGGTCCACTCTGGCCAGCTCAGGGCATCATCCCTACAGTCAAGCCCCAGGACTTGGTAGAATCCAGTATTAATAATGGTCCCCAACCATGGGTTTCCTTCAGCTGGAGACTATGCCACAGTTTAGGGGCTGGGCTCCCCTAGATTTTCAATCTGGGCCCCAGGAGCAGTGTTGCCAAAGAGGCTAAAAAAATAAAAAAGAAATAAAATAAAAATAAAAATAAATCTCCCAGTGAGGAGGAGGAGGAGGGCTTGAAAAGGGGGTAGAGTGGGAAGGGGAGCAAACCGCCTACATCATGTAATGTCATCCTTTTCAAATCAGGCTGCTTCGGACTCTGCCCAGGAACCTCAACACCCCCCCAGGGGTGATTCGGGGGGGCGGGATTTGAAAAGGAGGGGTACGTATGTACCCCCAGCTCGGCCCTGCAGCTTCACCGAGACGGGAGGACGGGCCCTGACAGCACTGGCTCCCAGGCGTCAGCCCCGAGTCCACCAGCCTCCAGCTCAGGGGGGGTGTCACGTCGCCCACCACCACGGGGGTCGGGCAGCTCGTCCGATTCTGGCCGAGACGGGCGCGGAGGGCGGGAGAAGTTCCAGGCTAGGCTCGCAGGGTCCCCGGGGAGGTTTCTGACCACGGATCGGTCAGGGGAGGCCCGGGCAGCTCCTACCACCGCCGACTGGAAGCCAGGAATGGGGCCGGGGGGTCGCGGAGACGGCGGACGCGGCACGAGACTCCAGCCAGTGCCCCAGGGCGGGCTTCACCGTCCCCTTACCCCAGACCAGGAGGAAGCGGGGACCGAGAAGTGGGGGGGCTCCGGGAAACCCCTTCAGTCCAGGCATTCAAGTCAACATGAGACGAAATCAAGCGGAGGGTGGGGTGGAGGGAGGGGAGCAGCGACGGCTGGGGGCAGGCACCGACCTGTCGATGAGGATCTTGTGGTCCCCCATCCAGGGGATGAGATGCTGTCCCTGGTCCTGGGCCAGGGCCCGCTCGTCGTCCCGGAAGAGTTTGCAGGCATAGCCGAAAACCAGCAACTCCACTCGGTTTCCCCCACCGCCGGCAGCGCCGGGCCCGGCCTCCTCCTTCGCGCCGCTTTTCCTCTCAGATTTGGCGCGGCCTCCGCTCGCGCCGTACATGACAGCGTCCCCGGCTTCCAGGCTGACTCTTCGCCGTGCCGAAGTCCTCGATGTTTCAGCCTGGCCTAACCTCCCCCCTCAGTCAAACGCTCCGCATCCCGGCCCCAACCTCAAGACAGCCGCCATAGCGGGCAACAAAATGGCCGGAAAGCCACTTCCGGCGGGAGGAAGCGCGCACATCCCGTGAGGGTTCGGCAGATTCGTCACCTCACGGGTGGGATGCAAGCACCAGAAAATAATATAGCTCAGTTTTCAGCATTTAGGAACTTTCTGTATGTCAGAGGATACTTTATGCAGAGAGATGTGCGTTTTTGAGCTTCATTTTTTCCAGGAGGCTTTTAGGAGTGACGACGAAAGTGCGGAGTGGAATCATGCACTAGCCTCATTGTGGCCGAGCGGGTGCGCGGATTGCGCCCGAGTGGGAGGCCGGCGGGTCCCGGTGATCTCGCGTCTCGCTGGTTTTGATCTCAGTGTTCTCCTTCGGGGCTGTCATCTGTCGGAACACCAAAAGTCCCTCCTCTTTGGGGCCTGGCAAGCCACTGCCTTCTCGCAGGCATTGCCTTCTTCCTATTCTGAAAGGGGTGTCGACCCCTGTCCTGTCTATCTCAGCAAGTCACCAGGAGATGTCAAAGGGCTTTGTCAGCTGCGAACATCTCCCAATGGCCATAACAGGCATTTAGGGCTCCTAAGGAAGGGCGGCAGTTCTCTGTTGATGTGCTGTTCCAGTCGTCTTTGCATAATCTTCGGCAGAAACTTGCTTGCATGTGATATTGATACTGTTCGATAATTTCCATATTCTTTCCTTGCGATGGGAACAAATATCGATCTCTTCCAGCCAATTGGCCAGGTGGTTGTCCTCCAGATTTCTTGGCACAACTTGGTGAGCACATCTAGGGCAGCATCTGTTTGTTGAAATAGATCAATTGGTATACCATCAATTCCTGAGGCCTTGTTTTTTGCCAATTCCTTTAGATATAGCAGCTTGAACTGCCTCCTCCATCACCATAGGCTCTTGCTTATACGCTATTTCATGAAATTTTTCTGTGTCTGCCAATCCAATTCCTTTTGGTACAGTGACTCTATAATATTCTGCCCAAAGAATCCTTAAGTATTGCAACTTGAAGCTTGAATTCGTTCTTCAGTTCTTTGAGCTTAAGAAATGCTGAGCGAGTTCGGCCCTTTTGATTTTTTCTGACTCCAGCTCTTTGCACATTTCATTATAATACTTTGTCTTCCTGCACTGCCTTTTGAAATCTGTTCATCTCCTTAAATCTTGATTTCTTCCCTCTGCTTTGGCTTTCTGGCACTCTAGTGCAATATTCAGTCTCTTTTGACATCTCTTTTGGTTCTTCCTCCTCTGTCTTTGTAATGACCTTTTGCACTCTTACTGGATGATTGATATTCTTGATATCCTCCCATAACTCATCTGATCTCCACTCATTAGTGTCCAAGGCCTTAAACCTGTTCTTGAGATGGTTTTGAGATTCAGGTGGGATAGATTCAAGGTTATACTTTTGTTCCCATGGATTTGATTTCATTTTCCTTAGCTTCAACTTAAACTTGCATAGTAGTTGGTGGTTAGTTCCACAATTAGCATCTGGCCTAGTTTTCACAGCTGATACTGAGTTTCTCCAGAGGTTCTTTCTAGACATGTAATCAATCTGATTCCTATGCGTACCATCAAGTGAAAGCCATGTGGATAGCCTGTGTTGGTTTCTTACAAAACGTATTTGCAATGAATAAATCATAGACTGTGCAAAATTCTATCATTCTATCTCCAGCTTCATTTCTGTCACCAAGCAGGCTGGGTTTAGAAGGGGTCGTGGTACAAGGGATATTGTAGCTAATGTTAGTTGGATCTTGGCTGATAGCAGGGAGTACAAGAGGAGTGTCTGTGTTTCATTGTCTATGCAAAGGCATTTGACTGTGTGGACCACAACAAGCTGGCTAACTGAGAAGAATGGGAATCCCAGAGCATTTGATTGTGCTTATGCGAAACCTGTACTTGGACCAGGAGGCAATCATCAGAACTGAGCAAGGGAACACTGCATGGTTCAACATTGGGAAGGGTGTACGCCAGTGATGTGTCCTAACTCCATATCTTTTCAATCTATGTGCAGAACAGATTATCTGGGAGGCAGGGCTCTATAAGGAGAAATATGGCATCAGGATTGGAGGAAGATTCATCAACAATCTGTGTTATGTAGATGACACAACCCTGCTTTACGAAACTGAGGAGAACCTGAAGCACTTGCTGCAGAAAGTCAAGGACTACAGCCTTCAATATGGATTGAAGCTCAATATCAAGAAAACAGATTCTCACCACTGGGCTGATTGGCAACATCATGATGGATGGTGAAGAGGTTAAGATTGCAAACCGCTTTAGTTTGCTTGGCTCCACAATCAACACTCTTGGCACCAGCAGCCAGGAAATGAAAAGTTGTATTGCATTGGGAAAGTCTGCTGTCAGAGTCCTCTCCAAAGTACTGAAAAGTAATGATGTCAGTCCGGAGACTAAGGTGCGCCTGACACAGGCCATGGTCTTTGCAGTTACTTGCTATGCATCAGAGATCTGGACAATGACTAGGGATGATAGAAGGAGAATTGATTCCTTTGAGCTGTGGTGCTGGAAAAGATTATTGAATATACCATGAACTGCCAAGAGAACAAACAGGTTCGTCCTGAAGAGGGTGAAACTAGGCTTCTCTTTGGAGGCAAGGATTCTGAAGCTCCTTCTGACATACTTTGGACATGTTACAAGGCAGGACCAATCCTTGGAGAGGGGCGTCATGCTTGGGAGGGGACAGCATGGAAGAGGAAGACAGTGCAGGAGAGGAAGAACCTCTATGAGGTGGATTGATTCAGTGACTGGGGTAATGGGGGTAGGTATGTCAGAGAGAGTGAGATTGGCACAGGATAGAGCAGGGTTTAACGCTGTTGTACATAGGGTTGCTATGAGTCGCAAGCGACTTGGCGACACATAACAACAAGGAAGGGTGGAGAGTGAGCTTCAGTCAAGGAGACTTGGACACCTGTTGTCTAGTTCAGTGTGTCTTCTGAGCCTTTTTCCTACTGGGGCTCGATCTGCACCTGTGGGTCTTTCCAGGACTTCTGGTGGCACGATGGATTAAGTATTGATATGCTAAATGATAGGTCAGCAATTGGAACTCAGCCCCTGGCAGGAGAAAAACAGGCAGGCTTTTCCTGATAGGATTTATAGCCTCAGTTGACTTAACTGCAGTGGCTTTAATTTTGCCTTTAATAGAACAGCTCTGGTAGTTCTGTTGGTTAAGAACTTAATTGCTAAAGGAAGAGTTGGCTATTAGAACCCCCCACCCACTTCCTGGGAGAAAGATGTGACTGAAAGATTTGAAAAAAGAAATCAATCTCACTGCCTTGGAGTCATTTACAATTGTGGGGTTGTAAATATATTTTTTTTTAGATTTTAATGAAATTTTATACAGAACTTGGATTTCCATTCATTCCTTGTTGCACATTTTCCTCCCTGTCCCCTCCCCCTGGTTGTAATCTTTAAGGGGGACACTGCTCATATTTCTCTTACAGAGTGGCTGGTGGATTTGAACCATGGATCTAGTATCCCATCACCAGGATTCCCTCTATGAAGATAAACTCATGGAGCAGTTTTCCTTGGTTCTACAGGGCCAAGTGAGGTGATGCAGGGGCAGTGTTTCTATAGTGGTGACCCCCAGGGTCACTAAGGCTGTAGTCTTATAGAGGCGGACTAGGTGCAATACTAGAGCAGCGCTAGATGACTGAGACAGGGCACTGTGGTGTGTCTGTGACAGCAGCACTGGATGACTGAGGCAGTGCACTGTGGTGCCTCTGTCATAGCAGCACTGGGTGACTGAGGCAGTGCTCTGTGGTTTGTTTGTCACAACGGCAGTGGATAATTTAGGTAAGCATTAGTAATACTTTCTTCCTCTTCCTGTCACTTCCTCCTTTTGGGGTTGGTTGTTTTTTTTTTAAGACGCTTCTTTGAAATCAGAAGGAGAAAGCACTCTCAGCAAAAAGAATAACAATGACAAAAACCCTCCACTCCAACAGATGTCTCTATTGCCCCCTCCTCCAGTGTTTTTTTTTTGCTGGCTGAGACACAGTTGCATAAACAGAGCAGCAGGCCCGCCCGCCCAGTCTCCAACGCCCCACTTCTGGGCTGTTCCGTATTGAATCCATTTTCCATCTAGCCTTTAGCCTCCATCTCTCTGCAATCTAGTTTTCAGAGGGAAAGCCCCCGAGCAGTTGCGATGACAGACCTTTGCAAATTGCCTCCTATTTCTCCTCCAGGGCCAGGCTCTTACTGAGATGGCAAAGTGACAATCTCTGCTTCCAGCTCTGCTTGCCGTGTGGCATGGACATGTGGTCCCCGAGGCTGGGCCCAGCACGTGCACATTTGATGTGGCCTTTGAAAAACAGGCACATTTCTATCCTCAAGGAGCCCTAGTGGTCAAAGCAAGCAGATGCTCACTCAAGGAGTAGGGGTCTTTGAACCCACAAGCCACTTCTGGGGAGGGGGTGGGAGAGGAGGAGGCTGCATCTGTGACAGCCTGAGGTGTTCTGGGGAGGCACGCTCTGCTCTGTCCTAAGGGACGGGTTGCCGTGAGTCACAGTTGACTGGCTGGCAGTGGGTTTAACTTGTCACCAAGTTGTTCCCAGTCATCAGGTCTCCGGCAGCTCTCTGCTCTGCACAGGCCGAGGGCCGGCTGTGGTGCGTGTGGGAGGCAGCAGCCCCCCACCCCATCTCTGCACTTGGCTGCTCTTGTCTCTGTTAGTCATAAGCAGACGGCTGAGCAGGATTCCTTCTGATTCTAGCACCGAGAGTTCCATTCTGTTTACCATCCGTTGTGATGTCCTCTCAAGTAAATAGGAGGCATAGGGAGGTGGGTTTATTTTGAGCTATAAAAGTCCGAAACCTGGGGAGGAAGTGGGGAGAGCTGGTAGGCTGAGGGAATTGCTATCAGCGTTTCAAAGCAAAAGATATA